TATGGGTGCCTGGACTCCATGAGTTCCTATGTTTGGGGTTGCTTTTGAAAGGAAAGCGGGGCTTGCGATTTTCAGGCGGGATAAATCGGTGAGGCATGTTTTGTCGACGGAGCTGTTTTGCTATTTCCTGCTGCTGCAGATTTTTAAACCGGATCTGTTCTTGCCTCATCCAACGTAACCGTCCACGTCTGAAAGCTGGATCGCCTGCCATCAACTGGGAAACACGCTCCTCTTTGGCAAGTTCATCATTCTCGCTTCTTTTTAAGTCATCCGTGGGCTTCTTATCCACATCCGCCACACTGGCAGAGTTTGGAGACTTAGCATTAGCAATGGTTGACTGAGCTTTCTCTGGAGACCCTATGAGAGGTAAAACCTTCTCCATTTTTAGCATCTTATTTCTAAGGACTTTTATCTCTTCATCCTTCATGTTGTTTTGCTTCTTCACTTCTTGCAAAATATCTTCCAATTTGTCTATATGCACCTTAAGATCATCCACATCAGTTATGCCTTTACCATTGGCCATAATATCTTCAATCTTCTCATCTCCAACTCCTACTGTATCCCAGACATCACGAGCAACAGCTCGCCACGATTCACGCTCATTTGGATCTTTTTTCCCATACATGGCACAGAGCTCTTTCATTTTAACAATGGCCAGAGCCTCAATCTCCTGCCTAGTGTGCCTGAAGTCATTGAGCGCTACCTCATAGCAAATCTCTTTCACAGCCTGAATCTTTAAGTCTGAGATGGTAACCCATTTGGAGTCTTTGCTAAGGCGTCGACGTTGGGGTATCTGGTACATTTTAATAGGCTCTCGTTTCTTCCCACTGCTGGGGAGGCCACACTTTTTTACAATGGTTTGGAGCTTGCTGGGGGGCAGCTTCTCTCTCAGGGAAGTGATCAGTCTCCAACTCTCCTCACACGATCTCTTGTCCGAATCATCCCCACTATCAGAGTCTGCATCCTTTGGAAAAACAAAAATCAAGAAGTGGCCCCAAAATAACCAAAATTAAAATTGTAAGAAAATGGAAAAGCTAAACAAGAAGTAGCAGGCAAAGAAAACTAAATCAAAAATCAAAATAGAACAAGTGATAAGGAACTCCCTGAAGACTGAGTGTTAGGACATTAAAATGTATCTTCAAGAGTCATGGACTGTCAAAATTGGAGCTCTTCACTAAATTAAGATTAACATTATATTTTAAAGTCTCATCATCTCAAAACAGCAGATTATCTGAACTCTTCCCTCCCAATCCCTTCCAAAAAATCTTTAAATAAATCAACTAAAACCAAGTTCCTAATGAAAAAAATATTGAAAACCAAGTGTAAACTGCACTTCACACATGCTATAAAGACATGCAAATCCCCGCCACACACTTTTGCCTTGGTGCCTGCTGTTGCTTCTTTCAGCAAATCCTCCCCAGGTAGGTGAACACAACAGCCATCATAGAAGATGTCATGAGCAGCCAGAGTAAGTCGGGTTAACACTGGTTAGTAACGTTGCACGTGGTTGCAGGGATGCTCAAGTTTAGAATCCACTTCACTACAATAGCAGCCAGAGAAGTGTTAGACGATAAGAAAAAATGAAACAGAAGCAGCCGAAAGGTTCAATGTTAAAAGGACTGTAAGTGCCACTATGACAGGTGAAGACAGCGGCTCATACTCCAAGACTTGCTACAAGCTAAAAGGATATCCAGAACCAGAGTTTCAGAGGTGGGTTGTGGTTTGCTTTTTGGTTTTTTTTTCACCTTTTGTCACCTTGTTGCTTAGTTTATAGCAAAACCAACATTAAGAGTCTTGTCTGTCCGAGGAATGTTTCAGAAGAATGAAGCAGTAATGACTTATTGGTTTTATATGTTGTTTTAATACAAATTCTCTATTTGATATCCTTGATTTGTCCTCTTCTCAAACCCTAGAGCCTGGAGCTTCCACACACTTGCTAAGAATTATGCGTGTTTTGCTTCTTCATTACAAGTTTTCCACCATTTGCTAAATGAATTTTAATGAGCAGTGCTTCAGGTTTCCATATGCTAGGAATGTTTGTTCAGGTTTACTGCCACCAGAAGTTAAGGATATCCATTACTGCTTACTGCAACCAGGAATTAAAGTCAGCCTACTTTTCTTTAAAGGATTAAGACATCTCTTTAATAGACAAGAAGTCCTACATAATATTGTGATCCAAACATCTTCAATAAAACACAGCACTTAGTCTTTGATGAACCTCTATCTAACATCCCTATTTTTCACATAGTTATGAAACATAAGAAACCAGGAGCAAAACAGCCAGTTACTCTAAAACCAAAGGAAACCCAGGTCACTGACTCAGAACCACAGGTTCCTAGACTTAAGACTTCAGGTAGAAGACCAGGAAGAATGGGGAATACAATAAAATTTGTTTGAGGAATGATGAAAGAGAGTAAAAGAAATACTGTTCTTTTCTACGGTCAACAAGCTCCACAGCCTAAGATTCACATTATTTGAGCTTCTTGTGACTTAATGTATTTTTGATATTTAAGAATAGCATTAGAGGATCAACTTCTAGTTTAGGTCAAAATAGAAACAAAACACTTATTTAGAAACAGAACATAAACTCTTTGTGAGTTTACAGCTGACAAAATTTGTGGCCTAAGGAAACAGCAGCTAACAAGCTGCATATTGCAGTAGAAACAAAAGATGCCCTCAAGGAAGACACTGTACAATGTGCACGTTCATGGTTATGTCCAGAAAGGCAAAACATGAACTACTAAACATTAAGTCACAAGTTCCACAGGATTATTCTTATAGGTTACAAAAATACCATATTACTACTTATGGGTAAAGCATGTCTTGTGTATAAAAAGCTGATTAAGAGACAATCTGTGGTCATTGCCCTGTGTGCACTCAGAGGTTCAGCAGACCAACTAATATTGGCATATATCCGCAGTCTAATATCAAGTGGTCAGAGGCATTATGACCAAGAAAACAAAGGAGATAATTTTAGCACTATTAAACACATTGTCACATTCCATTTGTAAAATGGAGAATGATTATTTCTATTGCCTAGTAATACTGGTTGGAAAATTGGTTGGAATCTCAGCACAAACCCAAAACAATCTGGTAAACAGGATTAGCCAGCTTCTTATATCCAAGATTATACTCCAAGAAAAATATTTCTATTTCAATATCAGTCTTACATAGCAGCAAGTTAGAGAACCTGATATTGTAGCTGGATATCACAGCAATGTAAATACTTCTAAGGTACACAAGCTGAAATGCATTCCCAGATTTCCCAATCATTATTCAACGACTGTTGCATGAATGCACTAATCCTGTCCATTCCAGACTCTGCATATGGTGACACAGAAATGATGAGATGTGTCAAGAAGTTGTGCTGTCATCTGAAATATTCTTAAGCACTGTGATAAGCAGAATACTGCTTAACAGACCAACAATCTCATTTGATATGATCCCCTACAACTAGGGAAGGAGTCCTTCAGGAACTACATAGATAATGCAAAGGTCTTCCACCTTTGTCTGCTAATTGAAATCAGCCAGAACAAAACCAGCTTAAGGTAATCAGCAATTTTATTACAGTATTAAATGACCCACTGTCTAAAGAATTTTCCCTTAATCTTACATATATGGGGAAACACATTCCCTTCACAACACTTTCATAAACGCAGCCTTATTCGCAGCAGCTCCCCAGACAGCCAATTCTCACATCTTTAATTCACACAATAGCTTAGCTTATGCCTGTCAGCTAAAATTTAAGGGAGGGAGTTCCATTATTTGCATCTCCTTTACACACTGAACTGATTTTTGCCTTACTACTTTCAGCTATGCCAATTGTAACTACAAAATTGAGGTGATGAAACGTTACGTTAGTCACATCTTAACTTCCTTTCTGAACTAAGTGTTGCTTTGGTTCCAAATCTGCAGCCACTCCTCTCCATCCAAGAAATTAGTCCCTTGCAATGAAAGAATTGGAGATGCAGAAGTCTTTAAGTGTATAATATAAACTTAAAAATAAGAATTTATGCGGCTTCTTCCTGTGGAAGCCACAGTACTTTGCTCCATTCTGTTCTGGGAAGAAGGGGGAGAGCTTTACAGTTTAAAACCCAACATGCATTTAACCCACAGTTTTTAATAGTCTCCAACTAATACTACAAACAAATGAACCATGATTCTGAAATTTTCATGAGAATTCAAGCACAACTACATTTGCATTCTGGCTAAAAGACAACCCGATGCAGTTACAGCAGAATCAGGAGACTCAGGTTTCTTAAGGATATCTAGGTTTCATTCCTGGGCTTGGTGCTGGAAAACTGCCTGAATTTCTATTTGTAATGCAATTCAGAAGATACTTGTTGTGAGAAGACCGAAATCTTCCTATATCAGACTGAATTTATTAGACTTCCTATTTAAGAAATAGGTGGAATGGTGGAATTCCCATTGTTCTGAGTTAACATTCCCTTTGCACACTACTCCTTAGTCATAACCCCACCATCGGCATGTGTACCATTAAGACCCTTACAAGGAACTCCATGCAGGGGGAAGGGAGAAGGGTTAAAACATGCACAATGCAGCAACATTTTCAGACATCATTCAAAAAAATAAACCTAGTATATCAATGTTCTAGGAATCTCTTTGACAGCACAAAATTAGTATGTTCTGGTGATCCAAGACAAAAATAAAGGCAAACATCCCAAGAAGTAGCTGTTTAGACTACTGTAAAGGTACTTCAAAAAACACAAGAGCATAGAAATGCCCTTCTTTCAGGTTAAGTTGCAAGAAATCCAACCTGTCTCAACAAGAGACTCTTCATGGTCAATTACAATCTCTGAATTAATATGAAAGAGCTCACTCACACTGGTAATAATTCACTGTAGACACAAAGTATTTGAAAGCAAAGAGAGAACTGCATTGTGCAGACAACCCAAGCAGGTTTCCTAAACTTTCAGCTAAGCAAGGACAGGATTTACTGTTTGCCAAAGGTATAGGTAATCTGAAGTAAGGACACATACCAGCCTTTGCTGCTCCAGCAAGAGATCAGCTTCCTCCTTCTCTTTCTTATACAGTATCTCCATTTCTTGTAATCTGGAGATGAACAAAAGAATAGAAGTAGTTAAGAGGTCACTATATTTGTGCTAGTGTAGTCTATATGCACAACCCACTGAATTAGTTACAAAAGTCACTTCACTTAAAAGGAACTGTCATTTGTCTATTATAGCACTATAGAAGTGAGACTTCCTATAATTGCAGTTCAGTCCTTCACCAAAAGGTCTAGAGGGTCAGCAGCAAGTGCTTACCTGTGGTTTTTAAAGGGGCTACAGCACTGAAACACTGAACTGAAATAGGGAAGCTTTCTGAACTTTCACAAGAGGGAGCAGAGATGCTACGTGGCAGAACCCAGGTTTATGTTTTGCATGGACACCACCCAAATAATCTACAGCTGACTTGTTGCTTCAGGTAGAACTTTGAGTTACCTTTTCTCCATCTCCTGCTTCATGTCAATGCCCTGCTTCTCCAGAAGCTCCCTCTGAGCAAATGTCCAGTCAACTGGCTCAGAGGGAGTCTCAGCCGATGGTGTTTTCTCTCTTTCTGCTCGTGCTTGCTCTGGATGGTTGAATCTGAAGACATGATTTTTACCCATGATGATACGATTTCCTAAACACAGGAACAGAAATTAACTCTTTCAGGTAAGGATTCCAAAACTACTGAAAAATATCACTGACTGATTCATCCCATGTATCCTCTGGGATGACAGCATAAGAAAAGATTGCCCTATAAGGATTTCTGTACATGCAAGTTAAGGAGGTGACAAGAAAAAAACCAGAATGCCTGGTTTGTACAGAACAAGCCACTGCTGATAAGCAGTGCTCAGAAAGGTCATCACCTCATGGGTCTGGTCTAATATCCCAGCAGAGTTTATAAAAAATTAAAAGACAAACTTGGAGACTGACCAACAGTTGCAATAAATAAACCATATCATGAAATTCCATCTCTCTCCTCCAGTGAGAGCCAAAACATGGACAAAAGCCACTTCAGCAGAATTTTCAGCTTGGAAAAGCCTAACTTCAAACACTAGGATGCACGGTGCTTGCTTTTCTTTAAGATGTGATTAACATCCTAATCAGTGGGATTTATGGAAGGATTTTATAGCTTTTATACTAATGTCAAAAGAGCTGAAGAAATCTACTATTAAGTCTTTCAGCGAAATCCTAGAGATACCACATGTCCACAAAGCCTGAGACGTGTATGATTAAAGACAGTAGAATGTCTCTGCTCTTCCAGAGAACATATTAATGTAGTTAATTTTAAAAAGGCATTCAAGTACATAGACCTCCAGAGTAACCAAAATTGTCGTTACTAATATATTACTAAAATACAGGCTCTTAAAGATGTCAGACCACGTCTATATTCTAGTAACTCAATTACATGTAAATGCTTCTTTGAAGAGAAAGTAATTACACTGAATGATAAACTCATGGTACTCAATATGAGCCATATGCAGGCACAGAACAGCAAATACTATTCTTCCTTCAATTGCCCAAACTTGTGCTGAAGTCACTCAGCTCCATGAAAATACTCACTTATAACTTGGTGCAAATAATTCAGAGGTGGGGGTTTTTGTTTGTTTTCTGTTTTTTTTACCAGTAATAAAATGGGAGAGGGACACAGAAAGCAGAAAGAGACAAGTTAAAACCCATAATAGAGGGAAATCCCTCCTCCTCAATTCCTCCCCCACATGTCTTTCTACAGGAATGTAGGGGACTGAGTGGGAAATCTGATGAGAGCAAAGAGAAGCTGTTGTACTGCAGAGGGTCATATCTTAGCTTTGCCAGGAAACTGGGAATTTTCCATCAGCAACTGGCAGTCTGTCTGCTCTGTCTCACTGAGACTGCCAAGGGCAATAGGCTTGGGCAAGAATGTATTTGAATAATATCAGGGTAAGCAGAAGGACAAGTAGGATGCTGCGTGGCAGTGAATATTTAAGTACACTTAAGCTAGTGCAGCAAAGAAGGAAAGAAAACGAACTGTGTGCCAAGAAAAGAAGGGTACCAACTTTTGTTTCAAAGCTACACTCCAAAAAGGCAACAGCTCCCAGCATTCTCTATGTATGATGTAAATGTCATGTATGGACAACTCTGAGATGGAGAGTCTACAAAAGAAACCATTCTAACATTTCTTACCTGAGCGCAACTGCACAGGCTGCACAACCCTCTTGCCATTAACATAGGTTTCTGATCGTTCACAAGGCTCCAAAGTAACAATAACTATGGAGAAAAGAACATTGACAAATGAGATTTCAGAGAACACTGTATCGAAAAAGAAGTGTGCAAACCCTAGAGGCCTCTCATTTCCTGCCCATCTTCCTGCTAACACCAAAACAAGATACAAGTGAATCACTCCTTGATGCTATGCTGGCTACAAATGAAATAAAGCCCTACGAGAAAATCAATACTACTGACATCTCCACATACTGCAGCTGGAAATTACCTTTTTCTGTTTGAAATCTCATGTTTATAGTTAACCAAGATCAGAAGTTAACTCTTACACTGACTGCAGCCTGCAGTTTGAAGCTATCATCACTTAATTTTCCTCCCCTACGACTGAAGAAAACAGTGAGTCAAAGCTGTTTACTTCAGGCAAGAGGAACTTCCAAATATCAGTATTTCCTGGCCAACTATCAAGTGAGGAGTGAAAGATTCAGCAGTATTTTGCTAGGAGAAGTAGTTTTTTTACCTTCACCATTGTTGTTCCTCTCACTTCGGAAGACACAGTGTTCTTCTTTGATATGAGCCCCACTCAATACAATGTCTTGCCTTCGTTCAGCATCAGCTTGGCCAACCCTGGGTCCAACAGAAGATATTTCAGCAGCAAATCAGATACTTTCTACAACTCTGTAGGCAAATGCAGCCCAGAAATATCCAGGACAAACAGTTAAACTATTCTCACTATCTTTCAAGTTTATAGGTTTGAACTAACACTTAACCCTACGTTGCGGAGAACCTACCAGATTTACCATGAACTGGAGTAACAGCCTGACAAAAGATTAATTTTCCTCTCTCTTAAAACATGCAATTTATAAAGATAATTGAATTAAAAACCTCTGGATTGAATGTGTTTCCTTCTTTCTTGGGCACCCCTTTCTCCCTTTAGCAAAGAAAAGTGGAAGGGGAAAAAGAAATGTCAGGAACTTCCAGTGGTGGGTTTCAGCTCGCACACAGTGATCACCCCTTCTAATCATCACCATCTGCACTTCAACAAAGGAGGGGAAATGGCTCAGGAGGCATTTGCTAAATAATTTGATGCCACAAGCAGTTTCATTCAGCTTCCAGGCAGCAAGATGCTTGCTATATCCCTGGAGCATGAAGATTTATGCCTATTACTCAAGTATTTGAGCAATTCTAGATATGGACAACTTAATTTTATGTCTTGATGAATTTCTTGCTCTACTTATTATTGTATGTATTTCTAATGTCAGCTAGCTAGGCTCAAAACTTAAAGTGATTTCTTAATCCATAAGATATTCTATTCATTATTCTGTGCTGAATTCTCTACAAGTTTGATGTTCTTTTCAGTAGATCCAGTGAGTATTAAGTAGTACCACCACAACGCCACCTGTTTGTGTATTCTTCTCCATTTGGTCTCCAGAAATATACAAACTATGCAATCAAACATGGCTTAGTGCTCAAAAGGTAACAAAAATCATCTCCTCTTCTTCCAGATGTCTCAACAACAAGTTTTGGAATAAAATCTGTTTTAAATTCCAAGTCTGGCAATTAAATTTAATCTCACATACGTGAATGCAGAATACATTACTTGTGCAGAGGCATGGATAACAATTTAAATAACAAAGTGAACACTCATCCATACTGCAGGTGCCTTTATCAAGTATGGTTTTCATCCTCCACCCATCAAAATATCTAAGGCATTTTCAGTGTTTCATTAGTTTTGGTTTCCTAGATCTTAGAAGGGATATCAAGCTTTCTTTTACTGCCCAGATATAGTAATGAACCTCTTATAAAGTGACTGCACACATTACTTTTGAGTATGTGCTTTAAAAGTAAAGCTGGAAAAAGCATTTCTGTACTTTTTCCACCTACAGCAATCTCATGCTTCATTTGCACCTGCAAGTTGAATAGCTCATGGTACAAGTGTCTCCAGCATGGGGATTTAAGCAAGCAAAGAAGCAGACTTCAGAGCATATTAGCACCGATCCTCACCTAGTAATGCCATCTTTGATGTAGTAGAGCAGACATTCAGACATGAGGGGATCTTCGTTAAGGTTTACAAGATGAGGAGTCTGAAAGAATAAAAAGTTAATTAAGAACTAAGGACCTACTTTAATGCTTCTTCCCACAGCTATGGAGGATGGGTATTAATCCAGTAGTTTTGCTAGGAATAGTGAGGTTATTCCACAGTGCATTTTTTCAAACATAACCTCCTGTAGTACTGAAGAGTATCACAAAGTATCAGCACAAATACAGCTCAGATTGCTTAGTTATCTGAAATATGTATCAACAGAGGGAATAAACGCATCAGCTGTAAAAAAAGATTCCTTGTGAAGTCTCTGTAAACTTTGATAGTGGAAGCCCAAGAGCAGAAAAAGAAGCTTCAGTAAAACTTGGAAACTGATGTGGAATCAACCTGGGCTTTTCTTGGGCAATACACATCACGTGCTCATTTGGAAAAGTCTGTTAACATCAAAATAAAATCTAAAACTACCAACATTCTCTGATACAAACAGCTAAGAAGCTCTTCATCTAAAGTTCTTCTACATTTAAATCCACTACGGTTACTAAACCAACCTTCTTTGGAGAAAAAACCCCATTGGAATCAGCAAACAAGTCACAAGGCCTTGGTGTGAAAATCTAGCCAGTGAGATGGCAGTAAGCACAAGCACAAAAGAAAAGGCAAAAATGGTTAAACAGAATTAAAAGAAAGATGGTAAAAGAGATAGAACTGTTAATAATCCACTTGTTTTTTGTTATCCTCAGATAGAATAAATTTAGGAAATAAATTTGGTAAGAATCCATAGGACCACTGCTTCCATCAAGTTATTCTAGCTGCAAGATGTTTACTTGGGAGATGCTAACAGCACTCAGTTTACAGAAGCTCAAAAATTACTGGATGTTCACACTGAAATTTGTCTATGAATGAAGAATTCTGTCAATTGCCCAGTGGAAGATTTAACTACAAAGACAGAAACAGGGAAAGAACGAGAAACCTTTTTCACTCTTAAAAATACAGGGGCCACCCAAAACCACAGCTGAAGATGTCCCATGTTGTCATCGCTATTCACTGCATTCAAATCAACATTTGGAGATGTATAAAGCCCTTAAATCAAGAGAAAACTGGAGGGAAATGAAATCCCAGACATAGTTAACTGCTGTACCACCACTATGAGTTGTACCACTAGGACACTTTAAAGTAATGCTGTGCCCTATGCATAAATGTTTTAACATCCAAGTTCATTTACTACACTAAACCAAAGTCTGAATGGGTCTTTCACAGGCAACAGAGAGCTCTGTAAGAAATTAAGCTCAACAACTTGAAAGATGATGCCAGCAAAACTGGCTATTCATTCATTCTGAGATCTAGTATTCATCCATAGACAGTTATGTCTTCACTTTCTCCTGTACAGCATTCTTCAAGCATGAGCTGAATCTTCCCTGCTCCCATCTTTGAGTACAGCACAAGCAATTACATTTCCACACTCAATTTCAAGAAGTTTCCTGCCATCAACAGCAAACCTGGTAGATACAGCGATGATGGCACAATGTGACACCTTTTCATCTGTGATGTGGGCAAAATTTACCTTACAGAGTTCAATTTACAGCTTGGCCGGTAAAAACAGTGATTAGGTAGATAATGGTACCTCAGAAGTGTCAAGTCTTTATAAAAACACCCTTCAAATTTGCTATCTACATCTCTTCAAGTTTTCACAATAGCAGCCACAGTTACTAAAAGGAGAACTAATGAAACTGAAGGGGAAGGACAGCAAGGAACAGAAGCAGAGAGGACTAGGTCGGGAGTCTTACTTCTCCTAATAAATCCTATATGGGTAAATACTATCTATTACCAAAGCAGCTACTTAATCCAGATGATATACACAAACCTGATCAGCTGAAAATGCACCAAAAGAGTCATCAAAAAGAGATGAGGGCCTCTGAGGGAAAATCTAAAAGGAGATGAGGATCCATAACATAAGAGAAAGAAATGTAAAGAACCCTCAATGAATCAGCATCTTTACAAACCTTAGGCAGTTCTGGAGTAGACACCAAAGGAAATCAGACATAACCTACTCCAGACATAAGTCTAACTAACACTTCTTCAAGTGAAGGATTAAATGTTTTAATCAACTCTGTTGTCCTGTATTTCTGTGCAATGCCTCCTGATAGGTCCTTGTTTAACCTTAGATCAAGGTTGTTACACACTTGCACATGCAACTTTCAGGCTACAAAAGGATTAATAAACAAATTCAAGGAAGAGCACCTAAACAAGACTTCAGATTTCTCTGGGTATCTCAAAGAAGAATAGATAGAGTACATGAAAGTCACAGACAACTGCTGCAGAAAATGGCAACAACAATCTAAAAGGCAGCATTTTGAGTTGCAACCAAATCCACAGATATGCAAAGAGCTGCGAACACCTCTCCTTGCAGTACAGATTTTCTAATGGAAGGTACAAAAAGTTGAACCATTTTTGATATCACTGGTCTCCCCATTAACTTTTCATGCTGCTCCTATTCTATCAATGTCTTAGACTAGCACATTCTTCCCTACCTTAATGACCAATGGAAGCTACCACAGGCAATTCTTTCCACAGCTCTGCTGAAAGCATTAAGTACTTATGTCGCATCACTTGCATGAGGAAGTGTCCAACTTCATTATTATGGGCAAAATAATCCTTAGGTGTAGAGTGTTTTGAGAGATTCTAACACTAAAGCTATTTCCACAAAGATATTTTAAAAGGAACTTGCTACCAAGGGTTCAAACCTAATTTATCTTCTTCTGTACATGAATACAAGCCCTTGTGTGAGTGGTAGTCCCTCATCACCCTCTTGTCCCAGGTTGTTCAGCCTTTCAAGGACATGATGCAATAGTTATCAATTTTCTCTACCTTTTTAGGTGAGAAGACTCCCAGTGTTCCTCCATCTTCCCGAATGGCAACTCCCATTTCTGCCAACAATGCCTCCCTGAGAGAGGAAAGTAAGATATTTACCATATTTTAGGCTGCTTAGACAAAATAAGGGCTAATAAAAGCCACATTGACCTGCAACCAGCCTATCCACCCACCACACAGCCGGGACTGTCACCACCACATAACACAATAGGGCAAGTTTCTAAACTTTAGCCCTAGAATTTATAGGCCTGCAAAACAGCAAAAGCATTTTAGTGCAATAATGTATGACAAGGTAAGTACATTTTAGGACATTCATTGCTTCTTTAAAGAAGGTTAAATCTGTTCTAAATTCACTAAAAGGAGCTACTACTATCCATTAATTCACAAAGACTTAACTGGCTCTTCCTTAACTAATACAGAAAGAACTCTCTTCTTAAGGGGTTAAAAAGGATTGTGTAGGGTTAAACTGTTCACGTAACATGCTACTCTTAGCTATGAAAAAGCACAGCAGTGATGCCAACACAGAACAGCAAGAACATGGCAAACACTGTTATATTTTCCCCCAAGTATTCTGAGTGTCTCCCAATCTCTTCCTAAGGAATTCCAGAATTAATGGTGGCATTTCTTTTAAAAACCTATCCAAAATGCTTTTATTGGTGGGGGTTTCTTTGAGGTTTTGGCACCTTTTCAAATTCAACTCTTAGCATCATCAACATCACGCAGCAAAGACTTTCACAGCTTACCTATGTATTGTGAGAAGTTCCTATTTGTTTCAAATCACCTGCTTGTCTTAAAGTCCCTCAGCTCTGTTAGTGAATAATCACTCTCTACCCACTTTCTTCATACACCTCTCGTTATATTATGGACTGTTCAATCACATTGTTTACAGGCAAAAATGTTCCCCTTACGTATTCTGTAAGCTTTTCATACTCTAATAAGTAATGCTCTGTTTAGTGGCACCCACTTTCTGACAAATATTAAGCATTTGTCTTGTTGCTCTAAGACACAATTCAAATCAAAGCTGGAAAGTTGAAGCTTTTCCATAATTTTAGATACACTGGTACTAAAGACTTAACCTTTTCTGCTTAACTTAAGGGCCAGAATTTTTGGCATGTAAGAGAATGGTGAAAGGGAGATGGAAGAAACCCCGACTCCGTGCTGCTTCACAGCAGAAGCCAATGCAGCAGTAGCCAATGTTACCTGAATTACAGCAGTAAACACTTCAGGGAATGTAGGAAAAAAATACGGCTCTCAGCATTGCTCCTACTGTTCACATCAGCAGAATTGTCACTAAGCACGATCCTGCTGTCCTATTGCTTTTGAACAGAACAACATTCAGCATTTTCCACACTTTGCTGTCTTCTAGAGACCATCAACACCTACAGCACTTCTGATTCCTGACCTTTCCATTCTAATGGCCTCGGTTTTCCTCAGCTTCTCTTCCCATGTTTCATTCAGCTCTGCAATGATCTTCTCCGATTCCTGTGTGAAAACCCCAGAAGCCGTGTTACAATTCCTCTCAAAGTTCTTTCCAGAATACAGAAAGCAATTAAAGTTTGTGCTCACTTCTAGACCTCGGATTGATTCGGGATATAAAACTTACTCTCAGTACTTCAAAACTCTAAATTGTTTCATTTTTAAAAGGGTAAATAGATTTCAAAGCAAGCCAAGATGAAAAGACGACTTCATATTTAACCACAGTCAGATATTTATTTCAACCACCTCATTTTTTTCCTTTTCTCCCCCCTTTTATATTCTCTCTCTCTCTCCCCCCCCCCTTTTTTAATTTAAATCTGATTTACAGACATCATTCAGTAACTGGATGCCAAGGCACTGCAGAGACCACACTGTTATTTCCATGGCAACAGCAGGTTTCCAATTGGAAAGGGAGATGCAGTATGTGTTCCAGCCCATTCCAATCCCTGTGGCAGCGTCTCATGGACAAGACATGAGAATGAAGCAGAGATTCAACACAGCCAGCTCTCCCCACTCATCCACCCATGGAGATGGGGGGGGAGCTTTCATAAAAATCAAGAAATACTTCACTGTAATGCACTTTTGATGCAGTTCAATTCTATGCAGAACTGGGACAAGGCTGCTATTGTTTGGGTACAGCAGGCTATTCTGTGTGCTTCACATTTTAATCTGTGGGGGCTGGGTGAACACAACAGTGGCAGGATTATTCTTCCTTGTTCCTTTCAACTTGGGGGTAATTTGGTTTTCTGAAAGCTGAGTGCATTTGCCAGGCAGACTTTGTCCACACTAGTGCTGACCAGGCCTCCTGAAGTCTATACTTATGATCACATTTTCCATAATTACCACAGCATCAGAGGACTTGTAAACACAAATCAAGACTTTCATTTCTAATTTACTTGTAGCTCCAGACTACAATTAAAGCTAAATAATTCTAACAAGAAAAGCTGTGCATAAACCCAGCTTCTAGCCCACCACTGTTAAGTGCCCTTTTTAAGGTATGAGTGGGTTTAAGACAGCTTCCTATAGAAAAAGTAGCATACTGGACATATTTGTGAAGGAAAGTTTTCCCAGGTTCACTGCTATTTAGCCTTGGAAAAGACCAAGTCTCCTTTATCTACAGCAATACCTACCTTCAAACGTTCAATTGCCTCTTCTCCTCCAGGTGTTGACATGATTCTTTCCTGTATACTGGACACAGATGTTATGCCCACCTGACTACTGAGAGAGCAGGAGGATGGAGATGCAGTGAGAGACCCCATGGAGGCTGTGGAAAAATTGCCAGGACGTTGATTCTCGGAGGCTAGCAAGTATCTATGTTTATTGTTCTGAAAATCTTTCAAATCTGGGAGAGAGACACACAGACAGAGGGAAGGCAGGAATATGGGGAAAAGGAAAATAGGAAGAAGGAAGGAAGAGGAAAAAGGAAAGGAAGGAAATACCAGTGTAAGAGGAAACCATTTAAGCAGCAACAAGTTTTGTAATTTTTAGATGGCAGTTCTGAAACAAATCTTTTTAGGATCCACAAGGTATGGGTAGCTCAGTTCAGACCCTGAGGATTACTAGTAAGGACTTCTTCAAAAACCATTTTGATCAAAAAAAAGCTTGTAAAAAGTAATTTACACACTTGCCAAAAAATAAATCATCCTATTCCCAACTAAACCCTAAACTGAGCACCACGGAGCTCAGACCAGGAGCAGATTCAGTGTGACATCAGTGACATTCTCAACTCAGCAAAACACTCTCTTCTGGACTCCTTGAATCTAAAATCATGATTAAGTGAATGTTTGCCACAGCAGTGGTTCTGCGGCTGAACCACCCAGGCCACAGAGAACTCCCCCTCCTTAAGTTCTCACACAAGAGTATGTAAATCACCTGTCAGTCCGTGATGGGGAGAACACAAGTTCATAACAACATCATCATGTTACTTCTTCACCCTCCTTGTCTGAAAAATGGAAAGCTAAGACATCTGATCAGTGAAATATCTGACAAGGTTCTCTTATTTCAGAAGGTGCTTTAAAGCTTTTTGGTCTTAGTTTAGATGAGGGAGGCCTTAAAAAAAAACCCCAAATGTAATAAGGCAGCTTTTGTAGCCTGAAAACCTGGAGGCCTCAAAGATGCCTCCTTGGAAGACTGAAAACAAGGAAAAGGTGAATGAATAATTTAAGAACAAATATCCAAAGGCAAATTATTTTAATCTTAGTTTCTCAAGTGTGCCTGTAAACCATATCCTCAGAATAATCACACACCCCCCAAAAAAATCTTAACTTGGAAATATCAGACAACTAAACAGATCAGTTTTAACAATTTTGATGGTATAAAATTCTATTAAAAAAATCCTTTAAAATAAGCATCCTCAGGAAAGAAACAGCTCAAATCAGACCCTGCAAGTTACAAACAAGGGCCTCACACTTACAAAAATGAGATGCTTGCCCAGACATTGCATAAATTTCCATGTCCTCCTACATCTCCTCTACTCTTCCCCTGAACAATTCTGCTATTGTCAGTCTTATGCTCTAGTTCACTCCACATTCAACCTGCTGTTTCAGCCTCATAAAACATGACTGCATCAAGTCAGTTTGAAAACCACCATCTGCAAATACAGGAAGCAGGGGTGGGAGTTTACCAGAAGAAAAGCAGGTTAAGGAAAGGGAATGCTATCGGGATGAGGAAAGCAGGCACGACAGAGCAGGGAGGATGAAGTCTCAAGAGGCCAACAGACACATGCACCCCTGAAGATAAAGGAAGTGGCACTTGCAAAAGCTTTCAGTTGCTGTGACCAGAGAGAACCAAAACCCTCAACATCATGCACGCTTCTCCTGGAGGCTGCAGCTTTCACACGGATGACATATGCACACGCTGGAAGCAGCATCAGAATGTAAGACAAGGCCAGGATGAGTCTTTACACCACCAGTAGCTTTAAATCTAGGAAATTACAGACAGATCTCTTCCAGTTGATACTATTTGAGTGAGGGTGAAGAAAACTGACTGAGAGAGTTTACCAACCCCTAATTTACATAAGGTTACCAACCCCTAATTTACATAGAATACATTTCTCCTGCAATGGACTAGTTATATTTCCCTTTCCCAGAAGCAAACAGTAGAACAGAAATAAAATGCTATTTGTTGACTGGTTTAACCCTATTCAGCTAATCATCTGCAACCAAGTATTTGAGCTCAAATAAGCAACTTTCATCAGTATAAGATGTCCATGTTTTTAAAGAGACCATATAAACAAACAAATCTCAGTCTCCAGGAGTAAACAGTAGCATTTCATCTTGAAATAGATATTTTTATATATCGATGGACATAAAACAAATAATTGTAGGTGGAAAAGAGATGTTGAAAGGCCAGAAGCTAAGTGTGCAGAAGCTGTTTTAACTGAGTAACTTGAGAAAGAATTCAGAAAGAGATTTTCTAGTTCCAATCTAAACTGTTGCCTGTCATGAAAACAGACTAAAGAACTACCACTCTCCTTTCTATACCCTGCCAGAAAAGAAAGCAATGAACATATGTTGTATTTGAAACTCTGCACTTCTGTTTGACTGTCAACTCAATCTAAGAATGCTGGTTAAGCTAGTTTCCATGAACCAGCACTGCATTCCACAGTGAGTGTTCTGTCTGGGATTTCCCCGTGAGAAATGCTGGCATGCAAAGCTCAGTTAAAAGCTGACCCAGAGAAAGCAGGTTAAAAAGAGAACCACACAATACACACATTTGCCTCCACTTCCAGAGTATTCATCTCCCATTGGATCAACTGAAAGGAAGCAGGAGGGAAAACACAAGAAGGATCAAAATTGAAGGTTCACTAGGACACAGGAAGGGAAGAAAATACTACTTGATATTTAAAGAAAAAAAATACAATTTTCAATAACAAAGGCTTTTTTTTTTCAGTTTTGATTTAGAACCAAAAAACACAGACTGTACCAAGCACAAAAACACTTGCATTTCATTGTCTTCTGGCCCCATTCTCTTGAAAACAAGCAAACAGAAAGGTAAATACATGTTACACATCTTTAAGCAGTCTGTGACTCAGCCAGGACCTCTGCTTCACAGGCAAATAAGTTCTGACAAATCAGAATCTAGTGCAACATTCCCCTTTTTTTAAGTCAAAGAATCTTTTAATCCACTGGAATACATTCTGTGTTTTTATGGGCATTTCCTTCCCTAAGAATTAAACCATTGTTCATATTAGAGAAGAACGTAGCAGCCTAAATTTTGGTTTATCATTTGCCTTGTTTGGAATGAGGACAAGGGAAGAATTCAGGCACAAATGTGTTCTGGTGCTTTAAGAGGTTGCTGGCAAAGCAAACCAGTACAATATTGCTCTGCCAACCTAACTCAAAATCTCGCCCCAAAAGAATTCATTATTTATTCACAAGCAGCTGTTTCATAGCTGGTTATTTTGAGATGACAAATGGTTTGTCACTCAGGACATTGTCTAACAGGAATTAGTCATCATTTTCTTTTCTGAGCAAGAAGGGCATTGAAGCCAGGTATCAACTAGTAACCTTAACCCTTTAAGGAGGAAGAAATGCTTTCTTTCTCAGTATGAAATTAAGTTTCTATCCTCCTTTTATTGTCCTCCAGACAAAAAACCCTCCATAACACACCAGGGCAACTCCTGAATGTGTAAGTTCTATTACACAAATTTCTAACAGTAACAGGAAACTCCATGTTTTAACTTGAGGTGGCCTGTCAACTCCACAGACAGTCCTAGGATGGCCTGTTTAAAGACAGAACATACTACCATTTCTAAAACCCTATTCAAATTTAATATCAGCACCTACATTTAACTCCTACGTTTTAAACCCCTCTGTCTCACAGGCCCAGCCCTCCCTCCTCTGTAAGGCAGACCAACCTCAGGATGGTAAGGTCTGTTTAATCCACTTACTGTCAATAATATCCCCCAGCCCTTGGGCACGCAGGAGATCCTTAAGCCTTGTCACCTCCTCCTTCAGCTCACGCACCAGCTTGGCGTTGGGATCTTCATTGATAACAGCATTGCATTTAATTTGTTTTGCACGATCTGCATATCTGGAACCAGACCAAACCAGTGAAACCTTACAATAAGCATGTAAGTGCCAAGATGCAACACAGGAATGCAGCAATATAGGAGACATTTAGCTGCAGCTGTAGGTCAGAGAAGAATCCTGGATTATATTAAGCCATGCATTTGAATTCATATTTAATACAGGGTATTGCTCCAAAAATGCCTATTCAAGATGGATTAACAATATGTACAACAGACAATACATTTTTCTTTCCTTCTTTCTTTATTCAGTGCTTTGAAGCCTCAGCTTGACCATTGTGCTCAATTTTAGGGACTACACTGCAGCTTGACCACATGTGCTCAATTTTAGGGACCACACTGGAAAAGAACATATGAACACAAGAAGAAGAGTTTGATTTTTCAAGCTAAGAGTAGGCAATAGATCCCTAGCTCCCTATTCACACAAAATAGATCAGTTTTCCTCTTTCAGGGTAATTGAATTTTTGTATAGAGTCATCTTTCCTACAAATGTTCTCAAAGCATAATAATCCAAAAGTCTGCAGGATATAATGTGGCTATTAGAGCTAACAGCTACCCATATCCATCCCGAATAAAAAGAAAATACCTTAAAGTGCTCAAAGTTTCATCATAGTTTATGTCTGCTGGACTCAAAGCAGCAACCATCGCAGTTCTGGAATTACCACCTACAACAAACAGGCAAGATTTCAGATGAAACTACAGTATTCATCACCAGTATTTTCAATAAATTATAGAATTTAGCTATATTCTAAGGAACATGCCAAAAATTGTAGGAAAGAGTTGTAACTTTAACCAAGGTGGAACTATATGACTCAGATTTGACTAGTAAAATGATTTAACCTCATACTTGATACAAAATTTAAGAGAGTTAAAAGCAGTCACAAAATTGAGTGAGACTTTCTTCCCCTATTGGCACAGGAAATCAGCCATACCTAGATTTTCTCGAAGAAGCCATGTTAGTACAGAATCCCTGTATGGTATAAAGTCTGTCTTCTTCTTTTTTTTACTCTATAAAGAAAAGAACACATTATTGAGAAGCAGACATCAAATGGGAAATTAAAGACACAAAAAAAATCATAGAATAAATATCAAAAGAACTGTGACAGCATCCACACATGCTATCTAAACAGAGGGACGGCTCATCCTCAGTTGTACATGTGATTACTGGGTTTGATATTAGATAATAGGCAACGTATTCAGACATCTAACAGATGATAGGCAACCCAGAATTCCCTTGATGCACTACCTTCAGAAAGATTTTTCTGTGCATGAAGAATATCTTTCTGACGTTTAAATTCTGTGTTTTAACACTATTCCAAGACAATTTAGGCAGTAAACTTTAATCATTAAGGGGGAGATTCACTTTTCCTTTGCTAGAAAAGTTACAGCTTTTTAGAGCAGTCAAAAGCCTGCTACAGGAGATTGCACAGCTACAGAGATACAGATGCACATGATATACGACCTAAGTGTATGTACTTAGATACCCAAGTATCTAAGTAGTACTTTATCCTAGTACAATCCTTTATCCCATCCTACAATCAGTAGTGACAGATACAGAACTTCCACACAAGAGAAGCACCTTCTCAGCACCTTTGGCAGACTTCTCCAGCTTCTTTATTTTGTCTAAATGAAACAATGATTAACTTCAAAAGCTCTATAAGAGAATGTGACACTTGGGTCATCTATTTACTTACACAAATAGTTAACAGGCAAGCATCTTGCCTCAAGAGATGCCACAAGTTTTATTCCACCCAACATTTAACACAGGATATGGCTTTGCAATAAAAGGCCTGATTATCATTTGTGTGAAACTCCTCATAACACTCTTGCTTAAATTGCAGTAGGTCTACTGTCCCTTGCCAAAGGTGAGTAACCTTACAATGGATGAGTAAAATTGCAAAGGGCTGTTAAGCATCAGATTCTAGAGAAAACTATAATTGACTGATCACAGACAATCCATCATATGGGGTAAAGAAAGAAGTATGGGGAGTAGAAGCATGAAAGCAAAGACAAAGTTATCCATATGAAGAGTAAATATTCCCAAGGTAAGTCA